GCTTCCCTTCTCTTGCATCACTCTATCAACTAAGCTGGAAGGACCCAGAAGGATCACCGAGCCCGACCCCACTCGGCACTCCCCACCCCCAATGGGCGTCTGCCCCAAAGCAGCGTCTGATCCGACATCGGGGCTGCGCCCACTGCCCTGGGCAGCCCTTGCCGTGCCCACCGCGCTCCGGGGCACAGCCTTTCCCTAACAGGTCATGGCCGGTCTTCCAGAACGACGCCTATTTACAACGAGCGCTGCCAAGGCGAAGTGGAAATGTACTAGAAGCCTTCCCCAGAGAGCGAGGACATCCGTCAATCACAACCGAGCTGGGTCTCAGCCCAGGCGCTGGCACGGAGCTGACCCCGGGACGAGCGCAGCCGCCTGTCGCCTCGCTCCGCTGCCGTGCCGTGCCGTGCCGCCGAGGCGGGGGCCGCCGCAGTCCCCGCCCGCCCGGCCGGGAGGGGCCAAACGTCGCCGCCGCCGCCGCAGAGACGCCGCCGGGCGATGCCGCTCCGGGCCCGGGGCCGTCAGCGGGGCTCCTCCGCCGCCTCCGCCGCCCAGCCCCGGGGAGCCGCCCGAGGTGAGCGCGGCCCCGTCGGGGAGCTCCGGGCCGCAGTTCCGCGGCTCCGTGCCGAGCGCTCCCTTCCCCGGCACGCGGACACCGCGCCGCGGGTCCCCGGGCGATGCTACGAGCGGACAGCGAGAGACGGTCGCGGAGCCCCGCCGCCTCGCCCCGGCCGTCCCTGCGGCCCGCCTCGCGGCCCGGCTCGGAGCAGCTGCCCTCCTCGTCGCCTCTCTCCTGCTGCCGCCCGTCCGTCCGCACGGCCGAAGGCTCGGGACATGCGGGATTCGGGGCGTTCTCGTGCCCGGGCACCCCCAGGTAACGCCAGCTGGCGAGGCGCGTGGTGTCGGTGCGACGCGGTTCCCGGCCCGCGGCGGGCAGAGAGAGCCCCTGCGCGGCCCCAGCGTCGGGGAGCCGGCTTGGCCTCTGTCTCAGCCGGGGGACTGGCTCCCCTCCAGAGCAGCTGCCGAGCCGTGCCAGGCTGGGCCCCAGCTCCCTCCGGCTCTGGCAGCGGCTGCCCGCAGCTGTGCTGGGCCGGGAGGGAGCCCGACAGCACCCGTGCCATCTGAGGCAGAGGGCTGCTCGTGGGGTTTTGCTCTGAGCCCACGTAGGAAAGCCGAGCATCAAGCTGAAATCCAGGGCCTCTTGCGGAGCTCTTGCATCCCAGAGCTGCTTTTCTTTGCTCTGTTGTATCCTGACAGGGAACATTAAGCAAAGCTCTTGTGGATCACAAGGCTGAAAGAAACTGAGGATGGTAGGCAGATCTCTCCCCTCCTACCCTGCAGGACGGCCATACTGAAAATCATCTTTCTCCTACTGCTGTGCATGAAAATAAAGGAGATGAAAAAGATAGAGGGCCTGGCTTGCTATATTGTGGAACTGCTTGGGATAAAAGCATAGACATGGCCTTGTGTGCTTTGCAGGAAAGAACATAACCAGTGCCACTGGCTGGGAATGGCCATGGAAGTAAGGCACGTGCCCTTCATGATGGCAGCAATTAGCTAATGCAGTGAGCTTCTGGAAGAGGCTGTAGCATCCCAAGTATTCAAAGGCCATCCAGCCTACCCCTACATGCAGCCTAGGAGCAGAGGTTCCTGCGCTGCAGGAGGAAGCAGCTCTTTTGCTCGGACTCAGGCTCTCGCACCTTTCCCTAGCAGGATGTTCTGTAGGGTTCTGGCCAGGCTCTGTCCCATCAGATAAGCTAGGAGAAGAGTCTGTAACCACATGCCACTCCTTCCTTTGGCCATCTGTGGTGAGGGGATAGAATAAGAATAGGGATGGGGAAGCCCAGCAACTCCCTGATGGTCCTACCTGTTCCTCTGTGCAGAATGGTTCCCCCACCACCCGTCAGCAAGCCTCACGTGTGCCTCTCAACTGTACTCATCATGAGCAGCCTCATCCTCATGGATGCCTACCTGGTGGAGCAGAGCCAGGGCTCCAGGAAGCTGGGCATCTGCGTCATGGTGGCAGTGGGCGACGTGTGCTTCTTGCTGGTGCTCCGCTACGTGGCCATCTGGGTTGGGGCAGAGGTAAAGACAGCCAAGCGAGGTTATGCCATGATCCTCTGGTTCCTCTATGTCTTCGTTCTGGAGATCAAGGTTTACTTTGTCTACCAGAACTATAAAGCTGATCGGAAGAGCCTAGATCTCATGGCTCGCAAAGCGCTCACCTTGCTGCTCTCCATCTGCATCCCAGCCCTCTACGTGCTGCTGGTGGCCACAGAGCACATGGAGTACGTCAGGACATTCAAGAAGAAAGAAGATCTTCGCAACCGCCTCTTCTGGGTCATCGTGGACATGCTGGATGTACTGGACATTCAGGCCAACCTGTGGGAGCCCCAGAAGAAGGGGCTGCCACTCTGGGCCGAGGGCATCATGTTCTTCTACTGCTACATCTTGCTCCTGGTCCTCCCTTGCGTCTCTCTCTGCGAGATCAGCATGCAGGGGATCGGCATTATGCCGCACCGCATGATGCTGTACCCGATGCTGAGCATGCTCACCGTCAACATCACCACCATCTTCATCCGAGGCAGCAACATGCTCTTCTTCAGGGACTCCCGGGTCTCCAGCATTTTCATGGGCAAGAACATGCTGGCCATCGGGCTGAAGGTCTGCATGTTTGTGCAGTACCAGCGGCACAGGCACCACGCGCCGCCAGGGCCAGGCCCTGCCCCGCAGCATAGCTGCCAGCCCCAGCCCTCCCCGGGGCTGCAGAAGTCTCGGGACCAGCCTGCCTGCCCTGAGGAGCTGGCCCAGGACAACACGTGACATGCCAGTGGCAACCGCAGCCTGGGCACCGCCACGCTTGGCCATCCCCACAAGACACCAGGAGGGTCGCTGAGCCTCCTGCCTCTGGACAGCAGGGACCGACCCTGTCTCCTCCCTCCTCGGGCAAGGCTGCTCCATTCCCCAGGGGCAACACTGCGATGGGGCAGCCAAGCAGTGCAGGACCACAGCCCTCCAGCTCAAGCCAGGGGCTGAGCAGAGATGTCACGTGCTCCACCTCAGCGTCTTGCCCCAGCCAGGTGCCCCTTCGTGGTGGGAGTGAGGATCTGGCTCCCCCCCACCTCTTGTCCCTCTCAGACAGCCGCAGGCTCGGTGGGGGCTCGAAGAGCTGACCTTTTTCGTATCTCCCTCTTTGCAATAAAAGGCCTGAGCTCTCCTTGTGTCTGTGTTCCCTGATGCCCAGCTGCAGAGCACTTCTTTGGGGGGGGGGGAAAGATTGGGTGGCCACCCACACCCTAAGAGCATCCCAGGTCACCACTGATGCCTAGTATTGTTGCTGCCTGTCCCTGCAGCAGCTGACGCCAGCCATGCCCATAGCTGACCTCCTTGAAGAAGTCCACATAGGTCCCCCACAGCCTGCCTGTGGAGCACTAGACCTAGCAGACAGCCTGACAGGACAGCATTAGAAACACAAGCCAAATAACCTAATGCAGTCCCCTGAGGCCATAGGAAAAAGAAGCTTCACTGACTGTAGACACAGAGGCATCCCTCACCAGCCAGTGCTGTCACACTGCAGCCTGCCACAAGGCTCACCCCAGTGCTGGCTGTGCTCAGGCCATGCCCTATGGTAGGTTTCTCCTTGGATGGGAGAAAGCCAGGAGCAGACAAGAAGAGACAGGTCAGCAGCCTTGCTCTTCACCTTCCACGTGCTGGACAATTAGTTTGTGTCCCAGCTCAGAAGTCTTCCATTCTGGCACTGCACTAGGATTGCTCCTTGCTGGGCAGGATCTACCAGCAACAGAAGATGGGGACACACAGACCTGGTAATGCCACACGGACCCTTGGCAAGGCCTTGGCAGCAGTGGCTCCCATGTAAGCCCAGGACCAAGCCTTCTTACTATATTGTCCCCCTGCACCTTTACAAGAGGAGACTTGCTCAGTTTTGGATTAAAAACAGTGTAAAACAGCAAGCTGCAGCACAAAGGGGCCATGATAGCATTGAGCTTTGGCACTGCCACACTGCTTCCAAGGAAATTCTCTGAAGGCATAAGGATGCAGCAGGCTCTGTTTCCCAAGTCAAGTCAGGAGAGGAAGGTCAGGCTCGGCACAAAGCAGCGAGCCACATGCAGGCTAAAGGCAGCTGAGGATTTCCATGTCCCTAACCAAGTTGGCATCCTGTTTCTGCTGCCTTTGCCCAGCCACACTAAAATCTGTTACCAGTGCAGAGTTTTCATCACCCACAGGAATTGCAGCAGAGGCAGATGCTTCAGTAACACCCTCAGCCAGGCATGACAGAGTTGCTCATCTTCCATTTTCTCTTCTTCACAAAACCTTTTCCCAGGCCTCACACACCAGCTGCCACCTGCAGCAGTGGAGCAATGTGCAGGCTTGGCAGGAGTGATCTGCCTTGCTGACCAGAGTCTGGTTCATAGCACCTGCTTCACATCAACATCACTTCTGCATTAGCACAGCCACTGAAATTGAGCCATTAGGAGCAAGGAGAAAAAACAGAGTTGGTAGTCAGCTGTAATGCCAGAGAGAAGCACATCCTCTAAGTTCAAACTGCAGCAAACACCTTTATAACAGCAGTGATAGTGGCAGTAAAGGAAAGCATGTATTTATTTTATACAGCATTTCTACATAACATTGATTCTAACAGCCCTTTAGAGAACAGGCCGAGACAGGGGCAGCCCTGCTGGAGAGATCCTGGGCAGCAGTGCCTGACTACAGTCAGCTGCACGCCCTGGCACCAAGGTGCAGCCCCAGAGAGGGATGCTGATCTCTCTTGCTTTCTCAGCTCTGGGCAGACTACATTTGGACGCTCCACCCAGCTGGGCCCTGACGTTGGATCTCTGGGCTCACTCCAGTCAAGAGCACGAAAGCTGCCGGGGTCTGGAGAACCGTGCTGGGAGGTGAGGGCTTTTACTCAGTCGTGGGAAGTGAAGGCTTCAACGAGATCTAGGAGCTCCTCTTCCTGCTCACCTCTCAGACCTCCTACAAGGTTTTTAACAAGACACAGCCAGGCACTTCATTGAGAACAAGACAGCGATCACAGACTAAAACTAGGCAAGATTCCTGGAGGAAAAAGGAGTTTCACCTTGAGAACTTGAAGCAGTGGAACGGGGGTCCAGAATGGTAGCACCCTTTATCCCTGTACATCTGCAAACCCATATGAAGCAAGCTTTCAGCATCCTGGTCTGAACGCAGTGCTGGCCCTGCTCTGAGCAGACCAGATCATTACCCTCCCACCTGATGCCCTTTTCATTGGGACCCAGTAAGACATGGAGAAGAGCCAGCAGTGCAGGGCACAGTCTGAGCTCTCCTAGCTACAGGCAGAGCAGGTGCCTGATCAGCACCATATGCATCTGCATGACAGGCTTGTCACCACCCAGGTATGATGTAAAACACAAGTGCAGGGGTCTCTTCAGCTACCGAAAGCACATTTTTTTTTCCTGTTCAGACTTCGCTGCCTAACAGCATCACTACAGCAGAAGGCAGAAAATGAGAAGGGAGGCTGCCACCTTCCAGGCCTGGCCAGAGTGAATCCCAGTGCCAGCACCACCTCTCCAGGTAACAGCACGTCTGTGCAGCAGTCACAGGTTCTTCTGTGTGGGCAAACGGCGCTTATCTTTGACAGCATTCCTCTTTCTTTTCTTGTTCAGGAAGCTCTCCAGCTTTCCACTCCTCTTTAGCTCTGCATACTTCTCTGCTAGCTCCAATTTCCGTTTCTCAGCTGTGAAGGAGAGAGGAGCAAGGTTTCAGATCCAAGCTGAGTTATCTCTACACACCTTCTTGCTTCCTCCTGCTGAGCACCAGGCCTGGCTTATCACTTGAGTGCCAGCACCACAGTCCCTCCACAGCTCCAAGCTTATGGACAGCTCATCTCCAGAGCTTGCACTGCTGTCAGCAGTACCCTCCTCCAGGTCTTCCTGCAATATGTTCACACCGTGTACTTACACTTCTTTAGGAAGAAGGGTTTCTTTCCCTGCTTGGCCAGCTCCCGTTGCTGTCTTTTCAAAGTCAGCTCCCTTTCCCTCTGTTTTTGCTGTTTTTGCTGTGCCTGTTCTTGCTGTGTCTGTACAGAATGGATGGCCCATGTCAGCAAGTGTCTAGGCAGACCTCAGGTCATACATCCTCTCTATCAGTGCACTGCCTAACAGAGGGGATGCTGCACCAAACTCACCATGCGGTTCAGGAGCTGCTGCAGTTTCTCCTTCTGTTCCATATTCCGGCATTTTTTCAGCTGCTTCTGAACCATCTGGAAAAGAGAGCAGAAAGCTGCGTCACTGCCTGCCTGCCAGCTCCATTGCAAAAGGCTTCTGCCTTTTGCTTCTGCCACCCCTGCCAAGCAAGTTTCTTCTGGCCAAGGACAGGCACAAGGCATTACTTCCTTCTCCTGCTTCTTGATGGTGTCCAGGAAGCCGTACGTCTTCATAAATATTTCAGGGTTATACTCTCCAGACAGGTCATCAAATCGAGGGTCTCTGTGGACCTGAAGGCAGAGGCAAGAGTCAGAGCCAGATTACTCTGTTAATATCCTGCTTATTCTCAAAGGGCCAAGTTAAGGTCAAAGCAGCAGCCTCCCCTGCATCCCATCTTCTGCTCTTCCCAGAGACATGCTACCATCACCCGTGTTCAGCAGGCTGCTAGCTAAGACCTATCCTCCACAAACAGCCTTTGCCTCCTTCCACAGCACCATCACCACATCTGTGCCCCTCAGCATCACTAAACACAGTCAGTGCCTGAAGTGGGGAGAAAGAGCACCCACCTTCTTTGTAACAGGGACAACTTGTCGCAGAAAAGGCATGGGTTTCTTGGCAGACATCTCCACTGGCCTGAAAGAGGGAAAAAACATACCTGTAAGAAGCAGAGGGCAGAAAGAGACCCACACTAACATCTCAGAAGGTCAGAGAGACCCTCTAGAGAACACAGTGACAAAACACCGGACTTCATGGAGGCTGTAGGTATCAAAAGCCAGGTGTGAACACTACAACCAACTCACTCATAAATGTGTAACTGAATTAATCCTACATAAAACATCTGCATGCTTTAATCTAGCTCCAAAGCATCAAAACCTCACTGTACCAAATGAAAACCTACCACTGTACAGTGGTTATCAGTGAATAATTATTCCTATTTCCATGTTTTCACACATCACATAATGATCCTCTTCTGCTCCTTACCCAGCTCATGCACTCTTGAGCGATACACTGAAAGGTGAAACCAAAGTTAGGACTTTCTCACTGACCTGGTTAGTCACAAGAGCAGGCCAGTTCTAGTATGATCAAGATCAGTGAGAAAGCATACCAAACTCTAGTAAAGGAGAAATCAGACCCCACAGGAATAAGGGTCATGCAGCTTATGGGACTTATTCCAAAGGACACTTCACGCTGAATCGGGACATGTGGTGTAAAGGAATTAAGGGAATGAGTCCTTCTTGCAACACAAGCTTTGAGAGCACGATGCTTCAGATGTAAAAGCAAGATGATGTAAGGCGACAGGACAGAGCATGACTCTCCCCATCCTGAATGCTGCATCCTGTGATTTATCACTACACCAGGTAAGTTATCAGAAACAAAGATGTGCAAATCACTGAGTCCTGGCATTACACCCACACTCAGCAATACCGCAGCACTGGGGTGAGGAGCACGAACAACCACGCAGCAATAAGTAAGTTTTCCAAATCCCACTTAAAGCAACGTTCAGCTTATTTTCACATCTTCTCATGAGGCTGCACCCCTGTGCAATGCTAGAGTCAGCTTCACAAACCACTACTGAAAACAGCTGAGCTCCCAGGGATTACCCTTAAGTGCTTTTTTAAGAAGTTAAATTCCATAATAAAAACCATGAAAGAAACAGCATCTGGGATTTACAGTGGTGCAGTGCTGAAAGGATTAAGGAAATTAAGTAATAAAAGCAGAATTATGCAAATAGAGTAGCAGAAATAGAGATGCCGTGTAAAGACAGCACACTACACAGAATCCCCCAGACTACTGGGTAGAAGGTAAAGTAGAAACATTATTCTAGTCAACTGTTTAAAGCAGAGGAAAGATGCATTCAGAAATAGGTTAGGGAACGCCACGGTAACAGAGGAAACCTGTTCAAATCATTTGGATAGGACTCTGAGGATTAAGAACTGCTAAGTGCTGCAAATAAAGGATAATGGTTTGACAGATGTGAATGGAGGAGGCCGGAGGACTGCTAGAAATCAAATAGGTTCTGTTACACTGAATTCATTTCACAGACACCACATAATAGCACCTGCAGAGTACATGAACTGGAAGTGTAAAGAACACTGAGAGCGGGACAGAGCCTGTGACTGCAAGTACTGCAGAGGGGAAAGAAAGGAACATCAACAGATGAGCCACGGAGGGGATGACAGCAAAATGAATGAGATTCCAGACAATGAGCTGACCATGTAACTGCAGCTATGGGAGCAGGGCAGAAAACACTGAGAAGCCACAAGAGGTTCAGAAAGCAGCAGGGCTGGGGAGGTACAAGTCAAACACTATTGATCAAGGAGAAGCTCATCATGCCTCTGGGTTAAAACACGGGAACTAAGCACTGCTTTAAGCACCAGACAACAGCAGACAGCTGGGGATGTGAGCACGACAGAGCACTGAGAGCTCAGCAACACTGACAGATCATTCCCAAATAAAGCACTGCAATGAAGGGCACAGCTGCACAGCACATCAGAGATCTACGCCAGCTCCAAGGCAACGTCAGCACAGCGAGGAGCTGCCAGCACTGCTTCTGGAGCACACAGAGAGCACACAGACACATCCTGCCGGCCACGAGGAACACCTTTACCCCTTTTTGTTCAGCTGCTGCTTCACCGGAGCTCTGCTAGGCGTTGCTGTTTTCTTCCCATCGCTCAGCTGCCGGCACGCTCTCGTTCCGGCCGCGTTCTGCATCCGCAGCCGTTCTTCCAACGACAGGTCAGCCTCATCTGGAGGAGAGCGACGCACAGCTGAGCGAAGCAGCTCCTCACGGCTGCCCCGAGGCACTGTGCGGCCCCGAGCAGGAGACAAGCGGCACAAACAGCGCTGCCGCCCCTTCGCGCCCGTCCGGCAGAAGGAAACCGCTCCGCCTCGTTAAACCCCGCGGACCCTCGCTCCGGAAAAGGCTCCCCTCCCTCCGCCCAGCAGCCCGGGTACAGCCGCAGCCCCGGGAGCCCAAACCACCGCCCCTGTCGGAGCCCCGCTCCGTACGGACGCCATTCCCACAGCACAGCTTCTTCCGGCCGGTCGCAGTGCCTCGCCTCTCCTCACCTCCCAGCTCTGGGCCCGTCTCCTCCTCCTCCTCCCCGCCCGCCCTGCCGCCGCTCCCCACGCGGCACCCCGCCGCCGCCCCCGGCCGTCTCACGGCCGCCCGCCTCATGGCCCCCCGCCCCGCCAGCGGAGAACCCGCGGAAGCAGCGCACGCGCAGTCGGACAGAAGGGAAGGCAAAACGGGCGTTTATTGGTGGAGAAGCGGCGCGCCGCGCGCATGCGTCGTGTGCGACCCGGAAGCTTCCAGCGCGTCGCCTAGGAGACGGGCTAGCGCCAGGGCGGCGTCCGGCTGCGGCCGGCCGTAAGAGCAGGCCTCCGTCCCGGTGTAGGCGGCGGGCGGCGAGAGGCTGTCAGCCAGGGCGCGGAGCTGTGCGGCCAGCAGACCGAGCCCCTCTTCCGGCGAGGAGGCAGGCGGCGGCGCTGGGGCTGGATAGAGCGGCGGCGGGCCGCGCTGCCGGGCGCGCAAGTAGAGCGCCTCCTCCTCCCTGCGTAGCGGAACGCAGCTGTGAGGGGCGGTGCGCGGGGACTGGGAGCCGATGGCGGCCGTCAGGCTCGGCCCCCGCGTCCCCCCGGCCTCCTCCCTTCCCGAACCCTCACCTGAGGCTGCGGCCGGTGCAGGTGATGCAGCGGCCCCCGAGCCGCGCTGACACGCGGAGCCAGGCCCATGTGCGGTCCCTGCGGAGCACGCGCAGCACGACGGGCCCCGGCGCGGCCCCGGCACCCAGCGCTGCGGGGAAGCGGCAGGGTCAGAGGGTGGCGAGGCGCAGCTGGCCTCGCTGCCGGGGCGGGCCTCGGTGGCCCCGCTGCGGCCGCAGCCCCAGCGAGTTGGAAGCTGCAGACGGTGGTCAGGTCTGCAGCCTCGCAGAAAGGCAGGGCTCGAGGCAAACCCATGGGGCGTAAAACTAGCCTACTGCTTCATGGTTTTTACAGGGAGCGGGACTCTGTTCACTTTGTTTTGACTATCCTAGGCAGCCAGGTTTCAAGTGCAGCCAAACAGCATTAGAGGAAGATACGTGTGAGTGTGGGCATAATACTCACCCACAGCCCTGTGCTGAGCAGCTGCTACATCAACATCTTCAGGATGCAGGAGGCTGTACCATGACTGGCCAATCAGTTCCTCCCTGAGGTAGCCGAGGTGGTAGATGGCACTGGGGAGGACAAGAGGAGTGGATCCAGCCTGCATCCCAGACCCAGACGTTGTGAAGGGAGATGATCGTGGCTGTTCTGGACAGCTGGCTGGTACTCTCACCTCTCTGTGACATCCATAAACCTCATGTCTAGAGCATGTGTGCTCTGAAACAGGTTGTCCTGAGAATCAGCATCATGATCTGCATCCAGCTGTGCAACCGGGGTGCAGAGGGCCAGGAAGGCTGTGGTGGAGGGGGAGGCCGGCCAGCGTGGGACCACAAAGCGCCCACGTACTGCCACAGCCTGATTTCCCCCGTGCTGCAGCCGGAAGGCCTTGGATGTGCGCATCTCACTGACAAAGGTGATTTCTGCAGAGAGCAGATTAGAGACTCCTCAGCGCCCTCACTGGCAACCTGCTGGGTCTGACCTCAGCCATAGAGACTCAGCAGGGCAGCACCTATGAGATCCCAGCCTGGAGACCTCAGTGAGCACACTGCACTTCCATTCTCCCCAGCCTTACCTCTGCCTGGCTGCTCCTGGGCAAGGAGAAGCTTCTTGTGCACGTCCTCCCATGCTCGCCCATCCATGATGTCGAAGATGGTGTCCCCGTGGGCAAGAAGCTCCACCTGATAGAAGGAGCTGTCATGGCAGGCCCCAGCAGGCTGTGTGCTGGCACACTGCAACCTCGTAACCCTCCGACACTGTGCAAGAGCCTCTCATGAGGACAGTGTGCCATGCACAATGGGCACAGGGAAACAGTGACTGCAAATCCGCATTGGCCAGCCCTTACCATAGAGAGACCCAGGATCTGAGACACGTTCTCAGAGATGTAGACCAGCTTGCCACTGGCTGAGAGCACAAGCAGAAACCCCGGCAGCAAGGAGAGCAGCTCCGCAGCAAGGACCGGTCCTGAGGGAGGAGCTGAGGCTGCAGGGGGAGCAAAGTGTGAAAAACTGTTTTGAAAGGGGACGGGAGCAGCACCCCATGCAGTGCAGAGCTGCGCCCATGAAAAAGGAACAGTAGTGCCTATGGGTACCTGGAGGGAAGAGGTGAGCTCCCCGAAGCTGGAGGCACACCAGGGCCATGGTGTGGAGGTAGGAGAGCCGCTCCTTCTCCTGCGTGGAGATGGGCAGCAGAGAGCGCAGTGCTTGCAGCTCCGCATTGATCTGGTCCCGACGTGCCTTGGAGGCACTCTTGGTTGACCTGCAAAGCCAACTGTTTAGGGAGTCCTGCCCAAGGAAAGGGACAGCGTTCCCCATCTCCTGCTATGGGAACACTGGGCCCCGGGGCAGTTCCCCACGCAAGGTCTCTGAGGAATAGCAATCCTTTGGTGGATGCAGACAGAGGTGCGTGTGGCTGCCTAGCAGGAGACACTGCTGGTGCTTGCAGCGCCGTGCTTTAGGAGCTAGCTGAGTGACATGACCTCCCCACCAAGCCCCGCTAGGGCAGAAACCGCATCCAGTGCCAGATCATGAACTGCAGCCCATTTGATCTGCAAGTTGCACCTGCCTTCATTCAAGCCTCCCAAAATCTCTCTGCCCCCTCCAAGATCCTTCGCCTCAGCATCCCTGGGTAGCAGAAACCCCTTGCACCTGGCTGGGTCTCACAGTGGCCAGGAGCCGCTCGCAGCCTCCCCTTGCAGGTAAGGGGCGGAGGGGGGCTCACCTCAACGGCTTGGAGGCGCCGTGCGCCTGCTCAGCCCTCCTGGGCAGGCAGCTCGTCTCTGCCTGCAGCGGCCTGTGGCAGTGGCTGCAGAAGATGGTCATGGTGCCGGCGCTGGGATGCCTGGAGCTGGCAGCGCGCTTCTTGCTGCCTTTGCCTCTGGCTGCGTCTGAACCTGCTGACCCCACTGCTCCTGGCCTCCTTTTGTAGCCTGCAGGGGCCAAGCTGGCGTGTGGAGGAGAGGTTCCCCTCCTGACGCAACTCCAAACATCTTGGGGCTATTTTTAGAAGGCAGGCCACTAAAAATAGCCCTCACAGCCGGCTGCAATCTGAGAGGGGAAGCAATAAAAGGAAGCTGGGGTCTTTAAAGCAAACTCGGTGGCTCAGGAGGGGGTGATGACGAAGGGAGCAGGGATCCCACTGGAGGGCATGTGTCCATCCGGCTCCTGGCCCACAGCTGGCAGCCCAGCACTCGTTCCTACCATGGGATGGAAGCTTGTGGTGTGTGCAGGGCCCTTTAGAGAAAGTGCTAAAAACTCCCTCCCCTCCCCAGCGAGGCCCTTTTCTTTTCCCCACCAAATGTTTCCTCTAAGAGGAAGCTGGCACAGGGCACTGAGCCCCTCCAGCCTCTGCTCAGCGTCCCCAGGCTTGTTATTCTCCTTGGAGAAGCCACTCACAGAGACGAGAGCATTTTGGGGTATTTCTGTGCTCAGCATTGTGCTGACTGATGCAGCAAGTCGGGGCCGTCTGTGCACGTTTCCTGGTGCCCAGCACCCCACAGGGAGAGTAAGCTTGGTGCTTCAGTGCTGAGGAAGGGGATGCTGCAGCAAAAAGCTCCAGCATTTCATGGCACACAGCCATCACCATCTGTCAGCTGTCTCTGATTTCTGCATCCCAGTAAAAGCCCACAGTTCCCTCCTACCTTTCCCTGCATTGTTAGCACGATTTCACCCCTGCACCCACCCACCTTGAGGCAGCAAGGCCTGGGTGATGCTCACCAGCTGCCTCCCATTCACTCTTCTGTCACTCTCCTGGGATGCACCTACGTTGTGGCTCAGGCCAACTCTTCCTGCTGGCCCCAGCTCCCACCAAGCATGGAGAGCTTGCAGCTGGCTCAGCAACTGTCCTCTCCTCCCATACCTCCCACCCAGCATAGCTGCCCAGACTTGGACACACAGAGCAGCAAAAAAGCGACTTCCACCTCAGTGTTTATAAAACGCCCACTGGTCACTGTGTTACAACCTGAGCCAGGCAGCAGAGCCCCCACGTTGGGTGCAGGGGCTCAGCTCCACCCTGGGCCTGCAAGCAAGTGCTGGGGGCAGCTCAGCACCACTGGGTGCAGGCACAAACGTCATCACGATTACGAGGCAGCACAGGAATAGTTCCGAGCCTGGGGCTGGTGGCAGGAGTCAATTCAGGCCCTTACTGGCAGGGCACCAGGCCAGTGCGGCTGCAGCTCTTCAGGCGAGGATGGGGGTTCACCGCTGTGCTGCTGGGGCACGCAGATTTCTTCCCCAGGGGCACGCTCTGCCTGCACACCCATGCTGCCCTGAATGCAACAAGGGCCCAAGGAGGCCTGGCTGGGGCAAGACAAACGGAGCTCACATAGGTTCCTTGCTTGAAAGGGCTAAAAATTCATGCAGGCAGTGGAGCAAGAGGTCAGTGTGTGGAGGGGTGAGTACAGGGTGATAGAAGGCTGAGCCAGCATCAGCCCTGCGAGGAGACGATGGGGCGGCTGATGGTGCTGTTCGTTGTCATGGCCGAGAGCTCCCATCTGTAACACAACAACAGGGCACGATTAGAAGAAGCATGAGTGCAGCAACCAGGGCTGGAGCGCCCCAGGGAGCACGCATAGGTGAGCTCCAATGCAAGGCCTACAGTACCTGATGTCGTGGGGAAGGCAGGACTGGTCCAGGCTGTACTGGATCACTGCTAGCTTACACAACGTCTTTAGGCTAGGGCCTGTGGATAGAGGGCGATTAGCCACAGCAGTCCTCATCTGGGCACTATGGGGGATCAGGGCATCAGGCAATCAACGCCACAGGAAACGGTGCTTCTCAACGAGGCACCTGGTGGCAAAAGGCACACACCGTGCAGGGAGCACTCACGTACTGAAGTCGAGGATGTAGAGATCTGAGTGATCCATCAGGTCGAATTCATCGCCCATGCCCTCCTCCGGAGATGGGCTGCAGAAGCCAAACAAAGCTCATCAAGCAGTGCCAAAACACTTGCATAGCAATTCCAGTTCTTTAGGCTCCTCAAGGGCTGAGCAAGTCCAGGACTGAACTCAGCCTGCCTGGAACCCTCTGAGGGGTTCTTAAGAGCAGGCTGGAGATGGGATGCTACAGCTGCTCCTGAATGCAAGTGCGCTGGCGCCAGCTCCGTGCAACAAACCAGACCCATGGGCTGCCTCACAGCCAGTGGGCTGGCATCCCCTGGAGAACCCAGTGCAGAGTCCACAGCGATGCTGTCTCATGTGAGCCTGCCCCAGAATGTGTTAGAAAACAAACAGATCAAGGAGCCTGGGCAGGCAAAGGCCACCCCAAATGCAGTGCAGCAAGATACAGTCCACACCATGCCTTTTCAAAGACCTTAGGCCAGCTTCAAGGCACAGCCAAGCAAAGGCACCCAATGGGAAATACGAGGTCAGCCAGCTCACCTAGGGCAATTCAGACACCGCTCAGTGGCACAATGCACAGTCCAAAGAGCAGTGCTGGCAGCCCCAGTGAGGTAGGCAAGATCAAGCTGGACACCCACGTCAGCTTTCTGGGAGGCTCTCTCTAGTTGTACTGCAAGACCACAGGGCATGGGAGCCACAATCTGTCTCCAGGGATGCTCAGCTCTTGCTGTCTACCTCAATTCTCGCTTCCCAAGGTAGCACAGAACATCTGCAGACTGCAACACAGTGTGCTGCTTGTGAGTCATGCCACGGACTCTCCAGAGCACCGATGCTGCTGGGGACAGAGCAAGCATGCAGTGTACCAAACCACCTCAGCACTGCTGGAGTGTGGTAAGCCAAGCAGCTTTCTTTGAGCGCATTATGGAAGATGCTTTGTTGCAGTTTTCTACAGAAGAGTGAAGGTAGCAGCTCGGAATGAACAACTGAAGCAGCCACTGAGGTCTCCTCTTGGCTTGGCAGCAGCTCTTTTCCTCTTTTTCTGCAAAAGCCATATGTACTTGTTGCATTAGCACAAGTTCTCCTATTTTATTAGCATGTGTTCCACTGCCCCAGCCTGCAGCTGGACTACCTTTGGGCTCCCTGCAGTTCAGGCTAAAGCTGTGTGCCAAGCACAATAGCACAAGGTTTGAATCAGATTCTGCACAGCCACAGAGTTCATCGCTCCAGTTCTCACACAGGGAAGATCTACTGCAGTGATTTCAGCACGGCCATTGAGATGTATGAGAAAGGTAGAGATGGCAGCTAGGAGACACCTGCACAGCAGTGCAGGCACAGACATCTCTCAGTCTGACTGCAGGAATTACTGCTGGCTCCGTGCACAGCTGCTCGGCTGTGTCAAAATGGGGGCAGCAGTCTCAAGAGACTGCAGCTGAGCCATCTCACCATGCCATGCTCCCATCTGATGTCAGTCGTGGGGTACCAGCAGGAAGCTGTGATTTCAGGTATGGCCAGGGAACAACAGGCAGCCTCAGTTGAAGTTCTCTGCCTTTGTGGTCTTGACGGAGCAGCCAAAGACACTTGAGAGATGGCTCACTGAGTCCCCCAGCACAGACAGACCAGCCTGTGCTGGAGCATTAGTGCTTTGCCCAAGCACTGATGGCTGTTTGGAGATCTTGCAAGAAAGGAAGGGTGTTCTGAGTCATTCTTTGGCTTGCCACAAGGCAATTCAGTACATTCTTACTGCTTAGCTGGGACCTCATGCAGTGATTCTCACTGCAGTGTTGCTTGCTGTCCACCTATAACCCACCAAGCTTCACATCAGACAGGAGGTAAGGCAGCACCTGTGTCCCCACTCCTCAGCACCCCCACAGAAATACGAGGCACAGCTTGCTGCTGGCAGAGAAGACCTGCTGCTGATAAGTCCCAGCTGCCTGGATACAAGAACACCACAATCTAATCTCACATCCACGTCACAGGAAGACCTAGGGCATCTCTTATCTTCCAAAGAGAAGCCAGCAGGCAGCGCAGTGCGCTCATGGCTTTATTGCCCAACTGCAAGCAGCTGGGGAAAGCCTGGAGTTCAAGACCAGGAGTGCTGCAGCTCCCAGTACACAGGGAACCAGCCAGAACCCAGCAAAACTGTTTGCTCTCCCTCACCAAGCCAGGCTTTTCTAAGCTAGGTCAGGATAGAGCAGCTCCAAGCCAAACCTGGATCAGCACCCATACAGCTGAACTCTGACTTATGGTACTCCATCTCCTCTTCATTCTCCCTTTGTAGATGGTCCCTGTTTGTGAAGTGCTGGTGACTTTGGGAGGAGACCAAGCCTGGGACACAGCTAGCAGAAGCACTGAGCTTAGTGCCACATGGCTTCCCTGTCACCGAACTGGGACACAAACAACAGGATTGCTGCTGGCCTTAATGAAAACCCACAGATAGGCAACGGGACGGAGCACTGGGCAGGACAGCAAAACAAGAAGAAGCGCATGGATGATGCGGCAGCAGGCACCTGCAGAAGAACTCCTGAACAGCCTCTGGTGCAGTGAATCCCTGTCAGGAAGGACAGGACACAAAGGGGTTTGCCTGGCCGTGCCTGACACCGTTGCCTGGCTGATCCTGCAAGGCGCCGCTGAATCCCCCCATCCGTATGTTCCCCTCCCCTTCCCCAGCAGGGGAGCACAGGTCAGCAGGCAGACCGCAGGGAGTTCTCCATTTACAATGACTTCCTGGAAAACTTCTTATCTTGCCAGCCGGCTCCAGAACACACCTGATAACCATTACAGGAAGCCAGCACAGCCCCCACCCCAGCCTGCAGGGCTGTCCCTCCATCCAGGCAGGCTACATTCTTGGCCACCAGCAGCTTTTCCTACCCCAGCCTGGTATGGATGAACCTTGCAGAAAAGAACAAGGCAAACACTGAAGTTGGTCAGTGGAAAAGACAAGCTGCTGCCAGTCTGTCTGGCAGAGGTGGACTGGCCTGTGAAAAACTGGTGTCAAATTTAATGTGGTTTGCTAGTGTTAGTTAGGACAGCTGAGTTTTAACACCCAGGTTCATCTGCTGCACTATCTACCAAAGACTGCAACAACTGAGAGCATCCAGAGCTGCCATCGAGCCTTCTGCTACACAGAGCAGCACCCAGTATCTGTGGGGAGCCTGGATAAACTCAGCACCTCACCGTGCACTGCAGGCTCCTTCGTACCCACACAGGCATCCTACCACTATGCCTCCTCCCACTGCCAAGCTCTTCTGCAGCTGAAGGCCCTTTGCTTCATCAGGCATTGGTACATCAGCCCATCAACTGCCCTGTCTTGTCCTCTGCCCCAGCTTCTCCCCAAAAAGCCACTACCGGCGTCCCAGAGAAAGTCTCAAATCTTTCCAAATCATTTGCAGGGCTGAAAGCATTTCAGATGTCTGTGAAAGGTAAATGCTGGCAAACAGGCCTGTGCTCCAGAGCTGCAATCTGTCATTTCAGACAGCGCAGAGCATGTCCTGGTGATGGGCTACTTCCTTCCTTTTAGCAGCTGCTAAGGCTCTTGGCCACATCCAGCTGCTCTCCATCCTGACAGTACCAACTCCAGTGTTTGACAGCTAAATCCTTAACACTGGATCCCTTCTATGAATGGAAATTTTGCTAAGGAACACTGGTACACAGAAGGGAATGCTACTTTGCGTGAATGGCTCAAACAGCTCCCGGCTGAGCTGACATCTCTCTGCAGCTCAGCAGACACCAGTCCTGCCAATGAAGGAGAAATTCTGATGGGAGAAGCAGGGCAGCATGTAATGGAGAATAAATCAGTCTGAAGTCTGCTTCAGCACAGCAGACCAAGCTGTGTCTTGCTTGGAGAATAAGACTTGTCATCAGGTGCTTCACAAGTTAACACAACTTCAGTTTCCCCTTTGCTTTTTCCAGAGGAGCTATGATGTGTGTAATTTGTCACACTTGATGTTAGATGGACAGTTGCC